TTTCTTAGACCAGGTTAGCCGGGTTAACAGGAGATTATGAATGCCCTTATCATGCAAATCCAGCAGTTGGGCGAAGTTTCCTTTTCGTTGAGATTAAACCAAACACAGGGTAATGCTATATTGTATCTACCATTGCTTCTTAGACTGTCCAACATCTTTGACTCAACGTCTTTAAACTGCTATCTCAGCTGACTTCTAGAACCTACGTCAAGCTCCAAGTGAGATCCTTCATTATAGGGGGTGATTATTCTTGAGGCTACCCAACACGTTCCTGGTAGACCAGTATTTGATATTCTCTCTCCATGATCACAGGCTACTCATCAGGAGAATCCATATTCTCCCTTTTTGGCAGAGATGCTTGTTGGATTGTTTGGTTTATCGATGTATGGTCTTTGTTCATTTTGCCTATACTCATCACTCAGCTATGTGGATCGCACCTTCCTCTCAGGCATGATCTCCAAAGTGTGTTCCGCAGGTTCATTCATCGTCCCTAATGACACATACTTATGTGGATTTTATCAATTCACTACACAGATAGTTAGTAGTTAGTCGCTTCTGTTCACTTAGTGATTTAGGAGGCAATTATTATAACTGTATTCAAATTAGTTGTTAGGCTTTATAGACAGAACGTGGAATGTGTTATGTAAGGGGTGTCTAACCGTGAACTCAGCTGCGTCCAACGAAAGATTGACGTAAGAAAAGTTTGGTAAATAACTTATGATGGTATTCCCATTATAGTGTTTGTTAGATGGTGCCGGTGACATATGGGGACCAGGACTGGTGAGCTATTGTGGAAAAGTAGAGGGTATTCCATCCAAGTGAACTTGTTAGATCGGGAAGATTCAGAGGAGATTTGGTTCAATAAACAAGCTTAAGGGTGATCCTAACGGTGGTTGACATCGGGCAATCAACTATTAACCATGATCCTTGCAGCTTGCTGAGTGTTGTACCTGACCACGAAATTACGGTTAATGTCGATAAAATGCTATCAACGTCTCAGTGGTGATCTCCTCAGGGAAATCAACCTCAGCGGTATTCTGTCTGATGGTAATACTGTGATAATTTCGCAGTATGTACATATTCTATAACCAATATACGCGGTTTAATTTTCAGTTTGACAGGGATAGTGGTCCATGTTTTTTTCAAACTGGATATGGGCAGATGCACCTGAGTCGACGAAACCCGAGGCACTCAACCTTTCGGACTTCTACATCTTCGGTGATCGTATAGTGTGCGAAGGTGCACGACTATCCAATCTGTTCATTGTAGTTGCTGTGAGCGGATGAGCAATACGATCACACCAGTGAGGCACATTGTAGGTTGTCTCAAGTTTACTGAGTGCATCAAGTGGTTATTTGCCGCACTGATAAGGCAGGAAGGTGCAAACCACGTTGGAGGACCGCGAAAAGTGAATAGTGTAGTAGCTATGTTTTGTGTACTGTGGTCCTCGAACCTGAAAGAACATGCAATGGTTGTTACAATGTGAGGTATCCGCAACGTATGTTTTCACTGTCCTACTAACTATAACAAAATTCTGTCACTTTTCAGCGTTTAGTAGGATAATGCTTAACTTAATTCCAGCTCGCTGGTCTCAACTCCTTCTTTGTGTATTGACAAAATGGTGGTCTTGATTGCACATGTTATCAGGTGAGAACGATGCACCTAGATTGGTGGAGTAACTGGGACTATTTCATACCCGTCGATACTCTGTACTAGAACCTGATTACTTGTCCGCGATTTTTAACCTTCGTTCCATAGATCTGGGTTGACAAATCCTACGTAGGTAGCTCCAAAGTACTACCGGTCGGCTACACCTACATTGCATAAATTATTCTGTACAGTTCGGTGCACAAGCTTACCCTCTCTTGAGCTGCAGAAATGCTCCCCAGCTTACAAGGGAGTGACGACAGCTAGGTGTCGAATTAGGACGGTTTCTTGGCTAAAATGAACCGAATTTCAGTACATAGGGTAGATTCCAAGACAAGTCAGACAAATCAGAATAAGTCAAGGCTGGAAGATTTTGGTTTGGAGGCGCGGAGATATGAGTAACTGAATCGTTATTGGCTGTCAACAACCGGATACAAGATAAAGCATGTCGAATGCTGATTGCGTGTCCGGACTAGCGGTAAAAGAGAGGATCAACCTTCCGTAAATATCCAACAAGGGGTCCAACAGCTACATATATCGTCTATTATGTTTGGAATCCGCCAAGCCACTCCGCTACGATATTTGAAATATCGCGATACATGTATATTTGTAATGTACTACTCATAAGGTTGCTGAAAATCCATCGACATTCAATTGCCTGAGAACATCATAAACGAGAGATTCAGCTGGGTTCCAGGTCAGTCTCTCGAAATAACCAAATTAGTTTGCAGATGAGTGTATATTCGCTAATTTCGTGCAATTTGGTTTCAAGTAGAACATAAGTTTGACGGAAACCCGGTGACTGCGCCTACCTGATGAACCCGAACTGGAAGGGCGAAACCGGTTGCGGACTGTCGATCGATTTTCAGCAACCTTATGAGTAGTACATTACAAATATACATGTATCGCGATATTTCAAATATCGTAGCGGAGTGGCTTGGCGGATTCCAAACATAATAGACGATATATGTAGCTGTTGGACCCCTTGTTGGATATTTACGGAAGGTTGATCCTCTCTTTTACCGCTAGTCCGGACACGCAATCAGCATTCGACATGCTTTATCTTGTATCCGGTTGTTGACAGCCAATAACGATTCAGTTACTCATATCTCCGCGCCTCCAAACCAAAATCTTCCAGCCTTGACTTATTCTGATTTGTCTGACTTGTCTTGGAATCTACCCTATGTACTGGTGGTCTCTTAGTCTAACATCGTTTCATGGAATATTCCCACCAGAGCGCCTCCTCTGAGGGATGTAATCATGGTCCAAAAGAGTTCAAAAACTTCCTGATCAGCTTTCCATAGGATAGCCTGGTTATCTTTGGATCTGTTTTAAAAGTCTCAATTGAAGGGACTCTCGTGAGACGACAAGACAGAAATAGCGTGCTATCATGCCGGACAATGATGCACAACTAGCCCAGCTTCGAAGGCGACGCGTGTCTACACAAACTTGTACACGCCATCTTTTCGCGATTACTTAACGACGTGTATTCACCAACGTGTCTTTTCTTTCGCAGTCACACATGAGTAGTGTTGCTATGTTGATTTAACAAGTTTGAATTTGCATGTGCTTGAAGTTTATCAGCATCGGGTCCGTCAGTTTGTCAACTGAAATGCACTGACATACATCTGCTAGCGTTTCTCATCTTCCAGTAACTTTCGCCACTCTTGGCACGCAGAGCTGAACAAAGGTGAAACTATGACCAACACATTGCGATGACTAACTTTTCACAATGAAAGAAAGCATTCGATAAACAGAAACTGCAGAAAAACTGCAGAGAAACTGCGGAAGCAGCCAGTAGAAACGCTAAAGTGTCAGGATTTGCAGCTTCATTAAAAAACACCTCAGATCTGAAGCGATTGTTTTAATCCCTACTTTAGAGGAGCTAGACTGGATGATTGATAGAAGATTGAACGAATCTAACTGAAAGTCAATCAGTCGATGCTCGATGAATAAAATGAATCGATTAGGAACCGGCCTATCCTAGGACGAGTACGGAAATGCTATGTGGCAGCTACGTCCACAACTTCATGGTACAATCTATACGGCAGTTCTTCCTGACGGACTATTTCCGGAAAACATTACCCACAAAGTTGCACTAATCTACCGTCATATTCCGGGGTTCTGTGGAAATATCCTGAACCCTACCAATGACTATCTGAAGGAAATTTTTCGCAACTTTCGCCCTTAGCATACGTTGGAGGTGAGTAGGAACCTCACCCTAAGCATCAACACAAGCAAGAGAGTCCATCAGGTCTTATTACACACTTCTGGCCTAAGCTAAACTATTATGACAATGGTGAGATGATTAGAACACTGTTTCCACCTCCGATTTCCTCCTATATAAAAACCGAGGTGACACTCGATGGTTGACTAACTCACACACCTGCTAGTCCCTACATGGATAGTGTTCACGACCAGCGCAGTAGTTACTGATGCATGTTTACCACATGGAACTGAATGATACTCACAGCGTGACCCATTTGTTCCTTATGTCAATTTCGTTAGGGTCAAGACTTGCTAGCATTGTAATATGGAACACTAACCCCATACATACAACCTATCTGCTGGGGTCATTTTTTGTGCCCCGGTGCAGGTTCTTCATAAGAAGACGCTACCACACTTGCTAGCTAGGAATCTTAAATCTACCTGTGTCCAGATGTAAAGTAAAAACTTACAACTGTTTCATTCCCGTTTGGAGTCATAAGCGGTATAAATCTCACGAAACTTTCGGGGAATCTAAACCCTCAAGCTTTCAGATAAGAGTTTTAGCACTACCGTCCAGCTACGGGTGGCTGAAAGTAGCTTGGTGAAGGTAAATCATCCTCATTCACATGGCCGCATAAATTGTGCCCATCCAGTAACGGGCTAGAAACCTAACTCCCCAACTCTGATCCCTTTTTTGTAAGGGTCGGTGAATGCCACCCTAAATGAGAGCCCTATCCAGGGCTAACTGGTTCTGACACGCGATGCAACTCCTCTTTCTTTTCTTGTATTCACGAGAAGTCTGACGCAGCCAATTTTCATCGACACACTGAAAGTTGCTTATTTTATCGGTAAAATCATAAAAATCGAAATTTCACTCCACAACAATTACCGACACTGATTTTAGAACCATAGTTGAAGGTAAGCGTCGGATTCATGACACACGAGAGTAACACCGGTACCCCAGTCGCGTCCTACACCCACCCAAGCTCCATTTGACTGCCCAACAAGGGCCTAAGTCACACTTCCATAAAATACCAACAGTTCGAACAATATCAGTAAGAAATAGGACTTTTTAATCTGATCAAAATCTGTGACGGTTCAATAGAAAAGTGATATGTAAACCCCGGCAAAGTTGAACGTGTTTTTCACAAATAGGGTCTCCAAACAGAATCGGGCGATGTTCGTGTAGATTCTGATCGATGAACTGGATTGGATGAAGAAGCGACTGACTCGTGAATCTTGCGTTTTGAGGATGCACCACCTTCGGGAATAACCGTCCAGTTTCGCAGCGGGCTTATATGGGGAGTAAGTGATATGGATAAACGGACTCTAGGTTGCTGTGCTTGTAGACAGTTGCGTGGCGCTGGTGAAGACAGTCTTTCACTGCATTCACTACGTATACTCTCATCTAGTGAACTGTAGATCCCACTGTCGACCGTGCTAGAACTCTTGCGATAATGTGGTTTTCCAGCCATGAGGATAGTAGTCGGTGGCTTATTCATTTCGGATGTGTTCCCAGGAAGGATACGAGAAAATCGATAAGGAGTTTCTTTGACTCTTGAATTGATTCGTTTTGAACCATCGGGTGCAGATACTACACTCACTATACCACCGGAACATGCGCTGCTCTGAGTGGATTCATCGGGGAACGAACAAACATTGTCCGTTGGTTGGTGATGGCGATCTTTGAAGCGGAGTTGACGCAAACGCATCTGAAGTTCTATGATGAAAAGGAAACATATCACTGACAAAGCTGTTTGTTAGGAGGAAAACAGGTGAAAATCGCTAGTGCATAAAACAAATTCCCAAAACATAGTCGCAAATAACCTTGAGGAATCCTGTGTGTTGTACATTATGTGAAAGTATAACGGTATTTTTCAAAACACGGGGGACTCCATCGAGTCAGTAGCTACAGAGGTATCATGGCGCACATGAGCTCTGAAGTAAAAACTCAAGGAATTGCTGTTAAAGTCAGAGATTGTGTCAGCTTCCGGGAACTACGCCTACCTGACCAGCCTTGAACCGGTGATGGATTACCTGTGGATTTCGGATAGTCGTCCCATACTGCTTAATTCTAGGATTGTCCCGTCGTTTTTCCCTTCCTTGAGGTGAACTGACCTAATTTGATATCACTTTTCATCTATTACACCTTATAAAGTATGCTGCAAATGAGAAACTAACTATTATATGCCCTCCGAGACAATGTAGATCAGGAGTACCAGTAAAGCTTTTGGCTTATGTTCTGGTAGGACTGGTTAGATTGGGTAGGTTGGATTAGTTTGGCGTCGTGTCTATTTGGAAGTTCCACGACGAAGGTGGTCACTGTTCACTGAGGGTTGAGATAAAGCAAAGAGTAAAACAATGTGTTATTTAATTCTAAGCAATAAGCAGCTCAAAGGAAGGGTAATCTTACTGGATTTGTGAAAGATCATTCTGAGAAGGCATCAATCGGAGCCAGTCAATACGTGACCACGTGATGTGGTTCCCGTTATTGTTGGATGAGTGGCGCCATGTCCTGTCGAAATGAGAGCTAATTAGACTGTTGATAAGCCACTCATGGCCAAGCGGTTGAGTGTTCAACCACTGGTCAGACGGCCGCGGGTTCGGAACTCTCTGAGTTTCTTGAGACGCGCACTGCTGATGATTTCCAACAAGCATGGAACAGCTTTACAGTGTTTCTCAGTTTTTCAGCATAGACTGGCTTCAGTGAGAGGATGAAATCTCTACTGAATGTTACCGAATCTCCACACCTTACTCTGAAATAATTCCAAGCAATTTTCATTGGTATCCAGCAAAGCGAGAATATGTTTGGCTTCCTATATGGGTGAAACTTCTTTTTTCAGAAATATCAAACACGGAATGGTGACTGGCGGCGAATAATGCTGTGGACCTCCCATGTGAATGACCTTATTGGGGTGGAAACCATCGTAGGGCTTACTGTTTTTCAATGGTCTGCGGATCACACAAACCAAAGAAAAAAATAGAAACTAATTAAAAGCCGATAGGTTTGCCATCGGATTGTATCGAACTTCTAATACTACTGAGTTTGAAATTCACTCTGGCAAAATGTCGACTGGCATAACCATTCAACGAACTGTATATTAGTGTCAGCGTTGTTCTCACCTATGGCATTCTGTCCGCCTGGTATGAGTTGCTGTCGGCTGTGTTCCAACAAGGTTTATGTAGCATGGTTATCACCATACATCCATCTATCGTCTACCATTATTCTCAATGCATCAGGCGGACGGGTCAACTAATTCCTTGAACCAGACCTTAACCAAGCGAGAATACGAGAGTGGTTTTGTAGTTTTTCATGTGATGAAGGCGTACAAACTACACCTCACCTGGTTTTTCATTTGCAATTTTCGCGATTCCTTCGAAGACCTTGTAACATGTAGTTAAAATGTCGGCCTTTTCCAATCTATGTTGTTGGTTTAGTTGCTGAGATTGAACTTGCGTCTGTTGGTCGACCTGGAAAGATAGAAACAATACAAAATTCTGGTTAGTGTAATGACAGCTGCCTAATTCGACTAAATCCCTTTGGCCATATGCCAACAAAACCAACTGTCCCCGATTTCGGTTTCACGCGCTCAAATGGTGTCTGGTACGGTGCGTGTTTCCGGTACCCTGGTCACGAGGGCAACCAGAGCGTAGCAAGCTTTGGCGCCCCAATTGTCCCAGCTCATCGACGGATAGGACTCACGTCACGTCATGTGATCAGCCCTGGTTACAGTCGGCTTACCACCTAGTGGGATGGGAACGAGCTCTCACAAGGGTTTGAGTGCTCTTGTTGCTGCATCGTACCACACGTAAAGTGCATTGGATAGAGTTAACAGTGTCATGGCAACTGACTAATACGAGTACGGGGGCTAGATGTATAGCGTGAATAAAATGCCACGGAACTTACGTCTAGTCCGACAATGCTCAGTGCGAGGTTGTGCAAGGCATTTATTTTGTCTGATATGCAGGCACGTCGACGGCGTTCCATATTTTGTTTTTTCAGCTAGAGGAAAAGACCATGCACAAATACGAGATATGATTATGTGCTAGAAATTGCCATAAAATCATGGCTAGAGTCTACAGCATTATTTACAATGAAAAACAAGTTTTATTAATTTTCCTGGAAATCTACCACTATGGGTAAGCGATTCTAAAACACTCCACCTGTCATATCGTACAATGCGATACAATTCAAGTTAACCTTGGGAAATCTTGAGTTAAGCCACACATTACCTTTGACGAGTGAAGTTGTGTACATCTCACAGAGTTGCGTCGAATGAATTAAACTTGAGGGAAGGAATGTCAAGTATTCAGGACAGATATTTCAGATGAAACTTGTCTGGTGCAAACTAATGAAGAAAGATGTGTTCACATCGTACACCATTCGTTAGCTGTGGCTCAGATGGCCCGGTACAATAAAATTATCATCCAAGTATAATAAGCATAGAAGTATAACTGCTAAGTATAACTGCTCTTACGACACTCAAAACAATGCCGTAAATTGGTGGGTTGCTTCCATTTCAGAAGGAGGAATGACTTCACCATTTTATGGCATTGGTCTATACGCTGAACGAGTACCGACCTGTTGGGGAAAAGTAGAACATATGTTTGTTAACTGTTATACATGATCAGTGGACACATTTGGAACTTTTTTCAATATAACAGCAAGCCTAAGTCTGATAAGGACTACTGGAGAACCCACCACACGTCTCCTCTCTCTTGAGGCTCATCAGTTAGTTCTAGCTCCTGAATTCCCATCGGTCTTATTTTGTACCTGAACACCTATTTTAGATATATGCGAACTGGGCTCTTAAACAGCTTTCATCAACCGTATAAGTGCGTCACAGTTAGACAATACCCGGATATATGAAATGTCACTCCAACTGTAGTGGCATGCGGTCTTTTTTTAGCATACACAGCTGAATCGCCCGTTAACGCCATTTCAATAGGCAAATGAGTGTTTGACATCAAACGCAATAATGATTGAATAGCCTTGCACTTTCTTGTAGCCTACACTGTTGTGAAAAATCAACGCTTACCCGACGGGTTTGCTCTCGTTGTTCTGGCGGCAATAAAGAGCGCCGACCTCTTCTGGGTTTTCCAGTTGCGCACCGAGGTGGGGCGATTGTCGGTGTTGATGTAGCGTACACTGCAGGTATTCTAAGAGGGGTACCAACGTTGCGGATTAAGTTCAAAGTCACAGGAGGACAAGTCGGACGTAGTGTTTGAGTGGGGTTCGCAGGTGAGCAGCTGCTTTGAAATTGGGTTGTGGTGATCATGGTTATGTTTGACGCGTGGCGAGAATTCCGCGTGGCCTTGCTCTTATACAGTAGACAGACGGCAGCCTCGTGGATGAATTTGGGTGACCAATCACGGAAAGCACGTGAACAGGCGTTAAGATGCTGGACCAATCAGCTTTCCATCAAAGGGAAGGGGTGTCAACGGCACATGCTGCTAAATCTAGTGTGACAGACATGTTTCAGGAGTTCGTTGGTGGGCGAAAAGGGGAGCAGGGGAACGACTGGAACAGTGGAAGAAAACTACTGCTACTGCTGCTGCTGCCAAGGTGACGAAGGTCTAAGTTCTGGTTTTACTCGCCCACTTAAACGACAAGCAATTTGTGAAACTCGGGAACGGGCTGTAATAGGCTAAAACAGATTCAAGCCGTACATTCCCAACGTAATGATAACGGTTTTGAAAGGCTTTCATTATAGAAACGAGTGCGAACCATTCAGTGCCCGTGTGATCGGTGTCAGAAGCTGGTAATAAGAAGGTCACGTGACCACCCGTCTAACCCCTTTAGTGAGTCCAAAGAAGACCCCTTTGTGTACCTGCACCTTCCAGGAATGGCCCTATCTTTACCGCACATACACTTGCGTATTTTGTTCTTGTTTCATCAGGTTTGCTCATTGGAGAGGATCAGTTGTTTGGAAGCAAGAGTGAGGTATGTTCCTGAAGCTCTAGAGTTAATATTTATTGCCCTGTCGATAGTTTTAACAAATTTTGGAGCTAGAAAATTATTGTTTTTTGCTAAAACTAATCCACGTAATTGAACTGAACTAGCCAACCAATAACTGGAACCTACAAGGTTGACATCACAGGAGATGATACCATATTAATGTGCTTCGTTTTCCGTTTGTCTTTTCTGTTTAGGTTTTGGGACTGCATCCGACAGACAAAATAGTTTGCTGCACGATGTTCTGATTTGCGTAGTCTATAGAAGAAAGCCGAATGCGGCGAAGTTGCCTCAGCGCCCGACATACTTTTGTACAACAATCAGTACAGAAAAGGAACCGATTGCGGGGTGGAATGTATGCACATCAGGTACAACCAGTAAGGCGTCAAAGAACAGGGCTGGTCGATCAGCCAAAAGGATACACAGCGCACGTCACATGGCGAAATGGACCTAAATTTGCCACCATCTAGTTGACCACCACAGTTGTTTTGGTTGGTACCGGATTAGAAAGTGAATGAGCTTATGTAGCAGGGAGGCACGTTACTAACATGTATAAAAAATTCAGCTCAAACATCATTTTAAATTTTACTATCAACACTCATATACTAAAGACATGTGTAAAAGGATTTCCATTTTTTTTAGAAACACGGACCCCTTACTTCAGCGTCGAAAATCGCCCCGAAAGGTGTCGGCAAAGTGCATGTTTAATGGGAATAACATTATTTGGTGTCACTCTCCCTATTTCAAGTCAGGGTGATTATACGCTGTACTCAAATGATGAATAGGTTTCTGGCATAGATGAGTCCGAGCGTGGTCCCAAAATCGAACAGCCTTTGTTTTGACGTATATCTCAACACAGTTACTCTCAAATGTCAAACTAGATACCGCCTCAACGTGTGAGCAGCTGAAAAAGCACGAAATACTTCACATTTATTAGATTTCTTTAATGGTAGTTGTGAGGCCTGTTGAAATTATATTCAGATTAGTCTCCTTTGAACGGTCCTCCTCATGCCCTGTCACGACTAGCCTGGTTACGCTACACCGAACATTAAGCATTCGGTTTAATTTGCGCCCATGTTAGAATCCATCAGCACCGGAACACACTAGACACCTCCGAACTATCATGTTTGGTCAGGTGAACATGGCTGATCCCGCATGTTACACCTAGTTAGCCTGTTTCCTCGAACAGGTTAGTAACTTTCCTGGTAGTACTAACCCGGTAGTACCTACCGAGTAGCACTTACCTATCAGGTTATACCGGGTGAGTAATATTGAACATTGTTCTGGTGTATCCGGTACAGACTTGAGAGCAGCGATTAGGCCCTCAGCCCGCATAGTAAGTGGTGGCAGTAATGCTGATGAGTTTCGAATAAGAGAGAAACAGGAGTGTGATCCTCCCTTTTAGAATAGGCTACCGTTTGTCATTTCTGCCTCTCATTATGTGTCATAATTATTCCCTCAGGATACACCATTCCATTTATTTAGTCACTTGGATTTCGCGTATTTTTGAGGATGCTGAAACAGCGGTTTCCTTCCTGCTTGGACCACTGAAGTACATTTTGGTAGCGGCTCCTTGGGAGAGATTGAAGTTATCCATTTGGTCCGTCCGTACGTTTCCTAAGTTTCCAGTGCAATTAAAATGACCAGACACTTCCCTCAACTACTTTATGAATGCGTCTTTTCGTGAGCACTAATGGCATAGGAATGATAATATGGCAAGCTCAGCGACTTGCTACTTCACCATTTTAATCCTCGTGGTATTGTTCACACTCACGCAGCAACATGTATTCCTTGAGGTGGGTGGGAGAAGTTTTCTCGCAACCTTTAGGTCCATATGATTCTTTGGTACAGCAACTTCTCTCACTTTACTCACACTGTCTCAGTATGGTCAGTGCTACACGACTAATACAGATGCCCTGCCTTCTCTCATTGAATTTACTGGGTGTAGCAACTTCTGCCCAAGAAAAGTCTGTAACCGTCTATCTTTTAGCTCAAGTGCATTATGAAGTGCAAGAGATTCGTGGTGAGAGTGGGACTAGATTTGGTCTTCCCATATTACGTCTTCACCAGTTTCCTTCGTACTGGTTCAAAACATCAACCGTTCCTTCTTCATCAGTCGTCCGTCTTATTGTTTTACAGTTACCACAGTTAAGCGAAGCATCATAAATCCATATTCGGTATTCATTGTCTGATTGAGACATGTCAAATGTAGTTGGATCAGCCATACCTTATTTGCGAACTGACGACTGGCGGGTTGTCCTGAGAAATGTCTATCTGCATTGTCAGCAACTGAAACCTATCTTTTGGAAAATGTTTGGGACCGATTGGGAAGTCATCGTTTCAGAATGGTTTGGTAAACAATCCACCGATTGTTTACCAAACCCCTCTGAAAAAAATGAGACCTATCTTTTTATATAAATTAAACCGGTTCTGTGGTTTGCTTGAAAGTATATTGCATTTCAGTGGCCACTGTATAAACCACTCGTCATAAACACGAGTAAAAATTGAGTCTCCGTAACTGATTAATCTGCGAAATCCACTGCTTTGGAAGTAACATAAGGGGTATAGTTATCACGCTTGGTCCTTCATATCGTGATTTATCACGTTAGTTTCGTACCACGTTTGGATCACGTCATCAATGACAAGCAGCGATTGTTATCAGGTGAGAAAAGAAAGCGGATAGAACGGTGACTGGTTAACACCTTGGCAGGAACTGAGCGTGCATTATTGTGTGAGCTGTCTCACGGTTCGTCTCAAGTGAGAACACAAGTATCAACCCCTTTCATAATCTTTGAGAGAAGGGGGAGTACAAGAGAGAGGGAGGGTGAAATTTGTAGGGCAAACAGAAACGGTACGAAACCTACGGAGCCTCACGTTATTATCCAAATGCCACCAGGTAAACCCCCTGAATACACCCGGTAAAGATGCGCTGGGTTTCAGGTTTCTTTAGTCTACATCAAACAACTAGATGCAACAGCCCTACTAGGAATGCAACAAAACTGGGATTCTTCCTCAATGAAGGGTTAAATAGTTTCAAGTATCCTACTTGTGTTTGGCGTTTGCTACCATAAACTCACAATTCATCGTTTGGAAATGACCATTTATAACTGTTTAGGATGGTTTGCTTGCCCTGCACCATAACTGAATGGATTAAGTGTAATCATTGGGTGGTTTGCTACGGTGGTATATTCCACCAATCCACCGACAAGGTCAAGTTTACTTTAATACACTACTCATTCTGGAACTAAATCCAAACAACAACTGACTGACCATGCATGAAAGATAGTTACTTTAAATTTTACCCATTTTCGTGGCTTCTAGAAAGCCCGGATGTCCGTGAAATCCCCTAGCAATGGGTGTGATACAGTATACAGGGGCTGTAATTTCTCGCTAAGCCTCCACGTATCGTTGTACTACCTCAAACCTAAGGACCCTAAGCATTTGTTACTTCTGTTGCCACAAACTATCTCTGCAACTTGTGGTAATAGCGTTTGCATGACTCGAACTGCCCGAGGGTTATTTGGTGCCTGGATCTGTTGTATAATTTTTGATGCATTTCTTGTCATTTCCCAGACAGCTTAAGATCGGGCAGTTCTGGCATTTTGTCGTCGTCGCCGTCATCATCATCATCATCATCTCATCATCCATCATCATCATCATCATCATCATCATCATCATCATCACTGACAGCATAATATCAGTGTTCAATACTGGTGCTTCGTTACCGTATAAGCAGACTTTCTAGCGTATGTTATGTGCAAAATGATACTCTGACAGGAACAGTCGCTGTTAGACATACGTAGATTTTGCTAGTATGAGTGAGGCGCACGGAATAAAAAATGGTGTTTTTTCCATTGCTTCTAGGACAGGACAGACTCTGTAATCGAGCTTTTGAGTAACTTTTGGCCCAACCTGCTCCCATCTCCGAATCCCTTCTCTAATCTTCAGAGACAAAGATGTAGCACCCGTAAAGTCATGCGTAAGACGATCCTACTCAGAGTTGATCTCCATTCGGTCGTCGAACCCACCGCAAGATAAGCTGTGTTGAAATCTGATAACTGATTAGCTTACACCCATTGTAGTGGAGAAGGGGGAAACTGTCGTGCTGGATTAGGTGCACTACCAGACTGCTTATCAGGTGCCTCCCCCCATTCTGTCCAATGTTCAATGAAAAGCAAACACAAACCCGAACTGCGTAAACGAGTGCTTCATGAGGTAACAGCATGAATTCTCCTCATACCTAGCGAAATACACTCATTTGTATTTTAAAACAATATGAACAAGAGATTTGGCTGGGATCAAAGTGAGTCTTCCGTCAAAACC